CATATGATGAAACCTTCTGGAATAGTTTCAAACAAAGTTGGCAACCCTAAGCAGCCCTGATTGACTTCTCTAATCCTAAAGGGGAGAGGGGCAGGCGCAAGGGGTCATCTCCCAGATACTATTAACACCTTGACAGAAGCATAAGTAGGAGTTAGGGAGTGGGGGGAAGGAGTGGACCACTAGCCAGCAGTGCATGGGGGAGGGTGCCCAGCACTTACCTCCTCAGGGGCTGCTGCTGCTGCCACCACCACCATCTCCCTACATGCTCCCTAAACACAGAGCAGTGCATAGGTACAGTCCAGTGCAGGCTCCTCAGAGGCTGCCATTTCAGAGCCCCATCTAAACTGGCACCTGGGGCTAGTTCCCCACTCACCCACCCCTTGTTACACTATTGGCCCATGGGTAATCTAGCTTGCATTTCTAAAATTTTCATTTCCCATGGCAGTGAGCCCTTGGCAAGCCACTATGTAATGCATACTGTTTCCAGGAGAAGCAAACAGTGCTACACCTCTCATCTGGCCTGTTCAATGGAACCACTCCCCTGCTTTCTGTTTCTGGCTGCCTCCTGGAAGTCTTTTGGTTTGTGTTCTCTTAAGTTGTCCAGAGTAACTATCACCTCTAGATTTTTACCCTCATTCATGACCAGCAGTCCTATGGCAACTGCTTTCATAGCAAAATATAGTAGGAAAATAGTTCATGTATTAAAAAAAAAAAAAAAAAAAAAAAAAAAAATGTTTTCATGTGATATAGCAGCTAGAAGGAAAAGGAACTAGGCACCATGTAATCAGCCAGCTGTCTGCAGACACTGGTTTGATAACCAATGCCTGAAGCCATTGTGTTAAATCAAACAGAACAGGATCATATACTACCCTTGGTTACACGTGCAGAACTTGCTGAAATCAATGACAGTTGAGTGTTGCATAACCACAGGTAGAGCTTGACCCACAAGTTGTTTGTATAACCCATAATTTATACTTCCTGCATTAGGTAAACTAGGAATAATATACTATACAGCCTACTATATCAATTGATTGCAATATAGCTTCTGCTATGACTAAACTTTGTTTGCATTTCAGGATTTGTGCCCTTACACATTAGTATAGAACAATTGGTACATTCAAGAAGTGTAAATGGTATTTATGTAATTTCATAAGTTGTGATTAAGATGGAATGCACATTGCATTGTCATATTGGCCTTCCTTCTGTTGCAATACAGGTTTCCCTCACTTTATGCTGTACGTGAGTTCCTGGAAAATGGCGCACAACTTGAATTTGCATAAAGGGAACCCCACTTTACAATGTAACAAATAGGGATACATTCCAAGACCTCAACTGTACTCCCCCCAGACCCATTTCTACCACTTTTACAAGACAATTTTGGTACTCGCCAACAGCGGACAGTACACACAAACACACGGGGGTGATGATGAATTCTTAGTTGGTGTGAAGAGAGAGAGAGAGAGAGCGGTGAAGGGTCTCCAATTTTGTCTCCAGTGTTAGCGAAGTTCTCTTGTGCTTCACTGATGGAGCAGGGAGAGGGATGGGAGATAAGGTAGCGGGATGCTTAGAAACCATAATGGGGATGGCAACTGCAGAAACATGTCAGACAATGAGTGAGAAGCACAGACCCACACAGGAGACTATATTTTGGTGCGTGTTACTCCCACAATGCACTTCACAAAGCAGCTGACTGCAGGCTTCCACCACACCGATCGCATAAGAGTGAATTTACATCGCATAAAATGAATTTTTGGTATAAAAAGGGTCATCTCATAAGAGCGAATTTGCACATACAGAACCCGCATAAAGTGAGGGAAACCTGTACTGTAATTGCCATCCAGTATGTAGACCCTTTCACTCTCCTGGCCATAGTACTATTGTCTTGTAGTAAAAATAATTTAGAAAGGCTAAGATGCACCATATTTTCATAGTGAGTATTTTGTTAATGAGTTAATACATATGGTATCAAGCCAGCCAGCCAAGGGACAAAAATATTTGTAGCAACTGGCATTCAGTGATGCCAAAACATCCATTGGCCAGAAAAAAACCCAAACAAAACCAACCCACATAACCCTAACACCAAAGTTCAAAATGATTGCTAATATATCAAGAGCAACACGGGGGACAAGTGCTTATACAACAGTGCGACAGACAGGGTTCACAGGACTGGTCGCTACTGTGGCCTGCTTGCCTGTCTGGGCAGTCTGCCTGCCCCTCTCACCTTTGATGGAATAAATGTTTAGTTTAGGGGAGAGTCTGCCCCTTTTTTCTATCCTGGGGATAAGGGTTTTAGCCACACCTCCAACCTCCCCCTTAGCGTGTCTGAAGCCTCACAGGTGCTATTATTTCTGCCAGCCCTGAGCCCCTCTGGTTCTATGGGCTCCCTGTGCCCTTGTATCTGAACCCCTTTGGCTCTAGAGCACAAAATGAGGCCTCCAAACCTCCCCTTTTAGCCTCATCCCAGTCCTCCCAATGTAGACAGAAACACAAACCAAAGGCTGTAATTTGCTTATCACTGACAACACAAATACTATGCCCCTTCCCTACTACATTCTCTCTAGCTTAAGTACCTGGGAGGTTCCTAGGTGGATCTTACTGCACTAAGGAACAACGCAGACAGCATCAGTTTTCCAACCACTTCCACTTGCAGGAGCTCATTTGTTTGCTTGCTTGCTCGCTCGCTTGCTCGCTCTCTCTCTGGTGGCTGCTAGGGCTTTTTCTTAGTGACTCCAGCCTGTAACTTATCTCGGCCAAAACCCTGCCACCAGCCCATCATGTGGTTCCTACAGGTGTTCCCTTTTGCCTCCTTAGACTGTTTCTCCAGCAACCGCAGCTGGAGAGCCCTGCAGAATGAGCAGAGCTCTCTGGCCAGGCAGCCTCATCCTTAAACTAGCAGGGACCCTTTAGTGCCCTGCTACAAACAGCATTGCACAAGAGCATATACAGTGAGCCATTGTTCTGACCTCCTTTCATTCTGATATGTTGGCCATGCCATCTCCAAAATTGACATGTAGCAGCTTTTTACTTATGCATTCACAGAAATATATGGATTGTGGATTTGTTTTCAGTATTATTCACTAAATTTTAACTTCTTTAGTAACACAGGGTCAAATTCTCTGCTATTGAAGTTAATCTAGAGTGAGTTACCATACCAGTTTACATCTGGTAAGAACTGGGCAGTTTATTCCTTCAGGATACCATAACCTAGTACTACATTGGAATCCACAGCTGAATCTCTTTGACTGATAACACTTCATATTCCAACCTCATTTATTTGAATCTTGGGCTCCGTAATTTGCATGTCCTACTGTTATCTTGGCTGTCTGGAGATAGAAGTGTAGTTTCTAACATAACTGAGTTATATTCAAGATCATGAACATCAAAGCCAAAGCATTAAATTGGCAGCAGACATGGCTTGCCAAGCAAAGTTAGGACTTGAATTTAGGGGTGATGTGTTTACAGAAGCCAACTTGTGGAGGAAGTAGGCAGCCAGACATTATTCAGGCCGGAGCCTTGGTGCTGTTTTCATATTTATCTTCAAGAAGAGTGAGTTATGGCTATCCAATGTGGACATGACAAATGCACGGGTTACAGAGCCTAGGCTGTTGCCTAGGAGTAAAAAGAAAAAGTTACCTAAGCAGCAGGAGGTAGAAGGTGGTTTTCTTTATTCATTGTCTGTTTATAATTACCTAGGGTTATTATGATGAGTCAAACAGGATTAAAGGTTTTACATCCTTTTGAAAGACAATGGGAGCACTTACTGCACAGGAAGGGCTAGGGACAGTACCCCAGCTGGTTTCTCAGTTTTTATCCTCTTCCAAACAATTGGGGCTTGCCCAAACTGAGTTGAAACCACCCATGCCTCATCAACCACTTGTCTCTTGGAAGTACAGCAGAGTATTAATTGGTTGTATTAATTGGTAGTATTAATTGGTAGTATTAATTGCCTCCAGTGTATATTATTGCCAGCATAGTTGGTGGCTTCTTGGTATTTCTTTAACAGATCCCATACAAGCATTGAAGAGAAGAGACAGCATGTATCTCTATGGGATCCCCCAAGATTCTGATTGTCATTCTCTAGTTTCTGCTAGATAGGAAATGTTGGAATCATAATAATGCCTTGTCAGCTGCTCCAGAGTGGTAGAGACCTTAATATTACCTTTCATACTGTGTTGAAGGACAGACAGAGACAGTTGTACAAGCATGAAACATGAAGATAAGGTCTGGTCTAATTTGTTATTTTCTACCTTTGTTATTTCCATTCATAGTCAAATATTTTGTAAAATCTTATGAGAATTCTTCAGAGCAGTTTGTGGTTGAAGTTGATGTCTGAACCATATAGTCTGGAGTGTTAGTCAGGGAATAACATGAAATAGCTTATATTCAACTATTTTCTGCAGTGATTGTGGAAGGGAACTGTATTTTGTGCCCCTAGGGTTCTGATTTTCTTGCTGTTTAATCTGTAAACCATGGTTATGCTGTTCTCAGTTAGCATGAGGAAACCAGTGCCTTGATGATAGGCTTCTATGAGAGCAGTCCTTGCTTGGTTGCACTGTTGTACTCTTGTATTAAGTCAGTTGGTTCCTCTTTCAGTCTCTAGGCCAAAATGAAAAATGTCCTGGAAGCTTAGTTTCTCAAAATCCTCTAAGATTTATCACATTCAGCATTGTCCCCTAAAGATTCTTTTGATATTAGGTGAATTATGTCCATCTCTTTTATAACTGTTAGTCTCTTGCATGATGTAATATAATACTTTTGCTTTTTGTATTTTTTTTTATTTTTAATGCAAAGACAAAGATAACTTTTCTTTGGCTCAATTATTTGACTTTGCCCTCTCTATTCTAATGATTGGAGCTGGAAAATGATATATCCTTGCTGCAAGAAGTGCTGACATTTCAAAATTTCTTTTCATTCTGAACTGGAATGAAGGATAACATTTAGAATTTTTTTATGGAGCAGAAATTTTGAAAAAAATGGATTTGGAAATGTCAAAATGTTTTATTTTGATAATGTCAAAACAGTATAGTAAGTATTTAACAATATATATGATTTAATATTTAACAAAACTATTGTTTTAGTATAATACATTTCAAATTAATTGAAACAAGGAAATGTAAATCAATCTTTTCAACACTTTCCCATTGAAAACTGTCAAAATTGACATATTCCCATGAAGTAAATTTCAACAAGGCTACATCTTCCAATGGAAAATTGCAGTTGAACATATTTCAATTAGCCCAGAGAAACACAGAGCAGTGTGTTTAAAAGCAAACAAAACACAACACTGCACACACAATTCTCCCCCAAGAGGGAGGATGAGAGAATGAATAAGTAAATGACAGATGTTGCTCAATGTTACTTAATGCACTACTGGAAGGTTCATACATACTTCAGTGATAAGCATGAATTATGAAACCGTATAGGAGAGACAGGAGAAAGACTATTTAATCACTTCCATTCTTCCATAGCTCCCAGTGTAGAAGTCGAGAGAGAAAAGTAGTAGAATGCGTAACAAGAGAAATGAAGAACAGTGATAACAATAGCTAAGCTAGACAGTAATTAGGGGACCTAGATAAAATATCATTATAAGAATGTTTAGGCATGTATTCAGTGCAGTACTTAAACATATGCCTGAAGTTAAACATAGGCTTAAATGCATTTCTGTACTTTACCCTTGGTGAAAATTCAGACCTGATTTTAAAATAGTCTACATAAAGTGGAGGATACAATCTGTGTTTGCATTGATGTGCTTTAACTCCTGAGAGTGATTCAGGGCTAATGGAGGGTGATGGCAGTTTTAAACCAAGTACCTGAAATGGCTGCTCTTTTTATTGGTGAAGGAATGCTTTGTGTGCCTTTTTAATTTCATTGAAGTATGCTGGAATTCTGGAATTACAATTTCCAGTACTTTCACATCTAAGTATGACTATTTTAGAAACATCACTCCAAAAACTGTGGAATATTAAATAAGCACCAAGAATGTTATGGCAAATCTTCACCTTTCCCTTCCATACCTGATTTTCACTAACAGCAGCCCAAAGAAACTTGCCTGAAAAACATCCATGCCCTGCATAACTCCCCTGAACCTTATGTTAGCCTCATGGGCAGCATACTCACTTGTATGAATGAAGGCACATTTCTCCTGAGATGTCCTTTGCCTGCCCAATGCTGATACATAAGTTCATACCGTTCAAACTCTGCTGTCTCTAAAGGGAGCTATTCTGTTCAGAACTATTTTTCATCAGCCTCCATTATGCATAAGTAAACAGTTATAATGAAAAATGTTTAAAATGTTAAACTATTTTTATTTTCACATTCAATGCACCTACCATATCAGGGCAAGATGAATATTCATGCCAAATTATAAAGCTATATATTGTCAAAAGATAGAAACATTTTTAGAATTAAAAAATAAAATTTTTTTTTTAGAAACCTTGTACCTCAAAAGTTATTCATTAAAGAAAATGCACATCTGGCTAGAAAAAGTAGCATTCAATATCCTTGTGTAGACACAATATAAAGGTATTTAGCTACACTGTCATCTTTATTTTAAGCACTCTGTTCCTTCTTTGCCAGCAAATCACAATGTAACTGAACAGTGGAGCAAATAACGCACCTCTGTAAAATGAAGTATACACAGTTACAAACACAATTTTGAAAGCTATGTTACAAAATATACAGTACTTCCTTTTTACATTTCTATAGATAAACATTGCATAATGTTTTCAAATAAGTAATACACCACTCGATCACAAGACACGTACTCCATAACTTATGAAAAATTCTGTACACTAGAATAATCATAAATAAATTGTAAATATCTTTAGTTAGAATCTGAGGTGGGGGCGGTTATATCAGGGGTCACGTTGTGCTATCTGTTTTTAAGAAGCATTCACTGAAATCTGACTTCCGCCAAAAGCAACAGCACAGTATGGTATAAAGTAGATAAAGGGATGGATAATAAACATGAGCTGCATTAATATGATAGGAAAAAAATTACAACAAAGGGGCCTAAAACATTGCTATACTTATACATAATTCCCCTGGTTCCTTTGTAGCAAGTGCTTTTCCTATCCAACCCCATAATTTTTTGTAGAGGCTGTTAACAGTTTGTTTATTCCTTTATTTCATGCTACAAAATAACAGGCACTTTATTAGAGAACTTATTAGGCAAAGAGCAGGAGACCTCTTCTATGTTCGGATTACTCAACTGCAAATAAGGGAGTCACATGGACTTCTGGATAGTCTTATAATCGCTAAAAATTAGAGCAAAGGAAATGCACACCAGCTTATGAAGGAACACAGCCTTTGAGCATGCACATCCAAAGCAAGAGAGGCAGCCTTAAAATTTTGTTCACTTTCAGTTGACTTCAGGGGAGTTACGAAAGACAACAGAATTACACTTTTTGAGCAAGGAACGGAGAAAATTCTATCTGAGGAGCATCAAGAAAAGAGAAGGAAGAACAGGCAAAAGGGTGGCTAATTCTGCTCTTTTCCACTGACATCAACGGGAGCAAGATTTAGTCCAATGCGAAACGCTCTTGAAAACCGCATCTGTGTCAATGTTGGGAAAAATCACACCTATTCTTAAAAATGTGTCAGTGGCCCACAAAAACAGAAAAAGTCTAAAGCTGATTCTGAATAACATTCAGTATACTCTAACAAAAAAAGCATTTTTAGGCAACTTAGAAGCATGTCAGTTTAAAAAATGTAAATAAACAAATCTCTAAAATGAACATATTTACTTGATAACTTAGTTCTGCCTATTACACTAGAGAACTTCAAAGAAAATAAACTTTTTCAGAATTAAATATATTTTAGCAGCACTGAGTAGCCTACGTTACGATGAAGGGTCTGTTTGCATTTAAATTTAAATCCCATTTAAAACACAGTCATATAAACTGGATGAAGCTTGGCATAGACCCAGGGCTGTAATATTCCCCCCCCCATGACTTGCAGCCCTCACACATTGCACTTTCTTACCTCTTCCATCTCCCAGAATTTGGTCATTTTATGCTACTGCAAGCCAGCAACTTCACTGATGTCAAATGCTTTAATATTTCCTGAACTGGCTCATTTATAACACTGAAATGTTGCAGCTAGTCAGAGTTGCAGACTGGCATTTATTAACACAACAACACTGAAGACAAGAGGCTTTCCAGCCTGTGCTGGATCGCTACTTAACCCATGGATTTTTATTAGGGATACAGATTTCCAATAGATGACTTTATAACACTGTCAGCACAAACTGCCATAAGGCACTATAGCAACTCCAAGGACATTGATATCAATCATGCTGCAAATGGTTAGAGTTAACACACATTTTCTCCACATTAAATATTAAATGAGTCCTAGGAATGTGTGATCTTATAACACACCAGACACTAGCCACAGTGTTGAACCCAAAGCATCCTTGTTTTTGCAGCTCTTAATCCAATCCTTACCACTATTTTAAAAGCCTGTTTTGAGGTTTAGTACAAGTCTCCTTCAAATTCTTCAGTAGTTACTCCCTTAATGGACAGCCGATCTTCAACCAACTTATATCTTCCAAAGGCAAATGCACCAGTAGTTTAAAATACTTACATTTTGGCCTTTAGCTAGACATCACAAAGTACAGCAATTAAGCTCTCTAACACTGAAGGAAATGAACATGTGAAAACATTTTCATTCTTTTGATTTGTTTTTTTCTCTCACAAAACCTTTTTTATATCATAGAATGAGTTTGGTTTAATACCAGTTATGATTCAGGGAGAATGTTCAACACAGTACATTGTTTTGTTAGGTTCATAAGCCTCTGAACTTATTTCAGCCATCCTCTGTTAGGTTGGAGTGCATCAACATTTCTTGTGTTTGGTGTTACTAACCATATAGAAGATCCTCCACACACAGATCTATTCTCAGCTTTTTACCTGATCTGAGACTTACTGGGCACCCTGTAGAATTTGTTCTACTCCATTCCTTGATAAGTAGTGTAGCACTGGAATCAGGAAACTAAGAAAACTTTCATTTAGTCCTCAGTGCATTGTCCAAACTGATTTTCAAGAGACTGATTGTCCTATACTGTGTCTTTGTTAATGCAGGTTGATCTCCTACTATAAGGCTGTGTTGTTAGAGCCCATTGCAGGCTGTGAACCAGCTGCAGGCTGTGGTTTTGGAACACGGTTTTCATCACAAGCCATTGCAACGGTGTTTTCATAAACTTCCAGGGCCTTTATCTGCCTGTCTTTGACAGCCGCCTCTTCCCTGTTGCGTTTGCAGGCCTTGCAGTAGCAGCAGCAGCGTTCTCTACAGAAGGTCATTGAAGACGTTATCATATCATCCCATGGCTGCAGGGATCGCATCCACAAGGGAAGGTAGTCCCAGTTCTGGAGCTTTGCAGGCAGTATATGTGGCTTTTTAGACTGTAGAATATTAATTACCACCACTGCAATAAATAAAAGTAGTATGGGACCACAAACGCCCAAGAGGACTTGCCAGCCAGCCATTGACAGGAATAGGACACCCACAGGTATAAAAAAGAAGCAGATGAAGAGATAAAAACCTGAAAACCATCTGTATGTGGCTGTTATGTTCCCCAAAACCTTGGCCAGGTGGATGGGGAGCCTGGTGTAAGGTATTGGATAAAAAAGAATAATTCCAGAAATATTGAAAAAAAAGTGGCACAGGGCGATCTGAAAGTAAACACATTTTGACAGGTTAGTTAGAGTTCCTAGAAAAACTGTGAACTGAATACAAAACCCATGATGTTTCTCAGAAGCCATGATCTCCCTTCCCCCTCTCTCGTTTTTGCCTGGTAAGCACTGATCACATATGTATTACTATAGAATTAATAATAAGAATCTACTCTTGATGTTACAGAATAATATGTGCAAATTATGTAGACTTCTGTCAGTATTTTCCCCAAGTCATCGACATATACAAGCTAAAATGTATCTGGCTTGGCTTAAGCATGCTTTCTACCATTCTAGCAAAACTCTCACTGCTGTCAAGCAATCTGCAACAGGAGTATGAGAACTTAACATTAATATGATCAAATGCAGACTGGGAAGTTCTAAAATGTAGCTATTAATTGCAGTGAGGCAGGCTGAATACAGTGCTGATGAACCCAACATCATGGGATCATTCACCAACCAAATATATATACCAGCCCAATCAGTATTAGCTTTGTGCACCCTTAACATTTTTCAATAAAATATGCAGTTAATAAATAAAGTAACTGGTGCCTTACAGGCCTCTGATAAATGGCCATTAATGAAGCAAAGATAGTGTGTATCCAGCCCAACCCAACAGAAGAAATACAGGTAACTGAGCAAATCCTAAAATTAGGAGCTGATTTGGACATTTTTACATAATTTGTTTTATATTTTTTTCTACATGCAAAGTAGACTTTAATAGAAAGCTGGCTTGGGTAAAATAGAAGTTCAGTGAATGCTGACCAAATCACTAATTTCCCTGCTTGTTATCTCATATACCCTCTGTGATTACCAAATTAAAGCAAATATTTAACTACATCATTTTGTTTTTTAAATTACCTTGTAAAACAGCTATTTAACATGAGATTAACTGAACTGGATTTAGCCCAGTTTGAGATTACAGCAACTCTGTTTTATTTGGAGGTAATAACATGACTACTGTAACTATTTCTCACTTTATTATTACTAGTATTGTTATTATTATTATTCAAATGCACTGGTACAGTTGAGAAGTCAATGAATGTGGACAAGCACCCAATGAGACATACTCTGACTAGATTTATCAAACGTTGCAACACCCCCGATGCCTCTCATTTAGAATCACTTTGTCCAATGGATTTCACAACCTCCACTAAGGTGCCTAAGCTCCTTGTACAATGTATGAGAAAAAGTTAAGTACCCGAGAATGGGATTCACAGAGGCCAGAAAGACAACTGGGGGACCTCTTAAGGCAGCTGGTAGGAAATGCCTTCTAGGTCTAGGACACAGACCCTAATTCCAAGATGCAACTTACTTATCTCTGCCTGGCACACACAGACATGAACTCTCTTCTGGAGTTAGGTTCAAATCTCTTCTTCAACTCTCAAAACTCAGTGTTTTAGAAACTATACAACCAATTTAGATATTTAGAAAAAGACTTAGGAACCTAAGTTTAGACACCCATTTCAAAAAACTTTTGTCTTATTTAATTAAATGTAACCAAGCTCATGAATGTCTGAGATTTGGTTATATAACAAAATGTTGTGAAACATTCAGTGTGCTTTTTTGCTCTGACCTCAGCATTTGGAGATCAAGAACCATACACTGGTATTATTATGAAATATTAGTGCACCAGCATTTTTAAAGCTAAATCTTCAAGTCCTTGCTCAGGCAAAATTCTCATTGACTTCAGTAGGTAGGTTGTAATAAGAATGTTTTATGCTAACCTGTAATGAATACTGTAATGTACTTCCTGGACTTGCTAAAGCTGCAAGTATAGCTGTTGTAGTTGTACCAATGTTAGATCCTAAGGTAAGAGGATAAGCACGTTGAATGCTTATAACGCCAATACCTGAAAGAAAAGAAATAGCATTAAGTATTTTGGATTTTAAAAAATATAACGTGTGAGATTTTAAAACCCAAAGGAAAGGAAAGCCCAAAGAACTTACCAACCAGTGGTGTAATAGCAGATGTAAAAACAGAACTACTTTGGACAATGAAGGTCATACCAGCTCCAACCACCATTGCCAGGTATCCAGCAAGCCATGTAAAAGGATATGGGAAATCTGAAAAGCAGAAAGGGGGCATGTTGTTTTTAGAATTAGAAAGTTTTTGTACTACATGTGAAACCACTGTGAAAATCTTACTATTATTTAGATTTTAAAGCATTTAGGGCAATGGCCTTTTTTTTGTTGCGTGTTTATACAGTGCCTAGCACACTGAAGTCCAGGTATAAAATTGGGGCTACTGCAATATGACTAATGAATAATACTAATAAAGAATTAAAGCATTTACACAATCTCTAGATGCTTCTAGCATATAAACTAAAATAATATGGCCCACATTTTCAAAAATAGCAGGTGTCTCAATTTTGGCAACATAAAGTCTTTAAGGGGGCTGATTTTCAAAAACATCCAGAACCCATGCTATGAAAACAGGGTACATTAAAGTGTCTGAAATCAGACATCCTAAAATAACTCTCTCTTGGAAATGAAGGTCTAAAGAGGTTAGATCAGAAAAAGTATGCGATGGGTGTGTCTACATATGTGTATTTACTGTGCAGTACCCCAAATTACTGCGCAGTATGGGTGCACGTCTATGCATGCACATCCATACTGCACAGTAAATATGGTGACTTATGGCAGCTTGAGCATGAATTTGATACCTGCATCACGCAGGTATCAAATTTATGACTGATTAGTTACTGCACAGTAATGCACATGTAGATGCCTTACTGCACTACAGTAACTTTAGTCTGAAGTCAGTCCACATACAGTGTTAATGCACTTTAACACCTGTACATGTAGACGTTGGCCTATTCCTGCAGTTACTGTGCAGTAAATTTAAGCCAGTGTAAATGCATACGTAGACATGCCCATTGTGTTCCATTGCAGCCAGCAGTTGTCATAGTCAGCTAAGAAATCAGAACTTAATTGAAGCTCGGAAGACCTGCAACTAGAGACTCAGGGATATGACAGGTTCCCATCCAGATCTAAACTGGCAACTGACTGATTTCCTAGTTTATTTTTCTGAGCTACTAGATGTTCTTCACCCTAGAAGAAGTGACGTGAGCAGGGGCAGATTCAGGGGTAGGGGAAGAGGGAGTGAGCTTGCACCCCTCTCTGATTCCTGCCCCATCCAAAATTTAAAACCAACTGCCTGTGTGGTGGCCAGCATTTCCTCGAAGCTGTGTGGCATGCACAGCCAGGCAGGCGTGCTCATGCCGTGCTGCCAGGCGCACCTGAGCGGCCATACACACCACACAGCTTAGAGGGAATGCTGGCGGTGGCAACATTTCTACTCAGACAGTGCTGAGGGAGTCAACTGACTTCATGGCTTATTGTAATCTACCTGACCCCTTCTAAGTCTTTTGTTCCAAAGGTATTAACGACCCTCTCTTCTTTGTAATGGCCTTGATGTTCCACAAATCAAGCTATCCTTTGTTCTGCAATTCTGCTGTCTGTTAGCTGTTCCTCGTAATGAAGTTTCTATTTCACAGCTGTGCAGATTGTTTTTAACTCATTCCAATAAAGTTATATTTATTTTTGCTTCAATCTTAAACTGAGTAATACAGTCATAGTCTCCTAGCATATTAGTAAAGCCTCTAGTTTCTTTTTAACTGGAAAAAATATGTTTTGTTTTATATGTGACAATAGGTAGATCCCACCCTTTTCTTCAATCTAGGAAGCAAAGGGGAAGGCATCAGTAGGTGGCCTACTGAAAACCTGTGTACAAAGTGTCTTTATCGCTAAAAAACAGATGGCTTCTTAATGACACATGGAGGCTGTTGGTGCACAGTCCAGGGAGAGGGTGCTTCTTTTATCTGCCATATGCCACTGAGGAGAGGATTAAAGGATGCAATAGGTAAGGCAAGGAAAGAAAATAACAAAAAAAAGTAATAAAAAAAGTTGTCTCTATTTTCAGTTCTGTATAGTAGTAAGCAATTACCACCTCAGCGCTCAAGTGCTATTTGCTGACGATATGCACATTCACACGGACGTTTCTACCAGATAATGATTATACTTCAATAAACAGAGTCTGGACTTTGGTCTCTATCGTCATTAATCTGCCACATTTCACAAGCAAAGTGTTCACTCAGAGATTTTTAAGAAGAAATGATAAACAATGATAAAATGAAACTTTCTTCTAGGATTTTCATTTAATAATGAATTATGCACACTATCACTTTAGATCTGCATATGCAAATGGTGTCAGTAAATGAGCTTACTGTCACAGTCAGGTCTGAAAAAGATCTTCAGAAATAGTGTATAATTACCAGTATTGATAGTCTTCTTGATGATACTGGCCATTCGTCCTTTAAGGACAGAATTCAGTAGCTTAACGATCATCACCAAACACACACAGAGAGTTATCAAAGAAAATGCAAGGAGAATGAGACCAATACCAAGATCTGGAAGATCTGCATCCACAAAGATATGCTTGCCTGCAAAATTTTAAAAAATCAAAGTCAGACTGGTACTTTAATCACTAGGCCAAACTCTAGTTCTGCTCTACACAGGCTTGAACATATTGGACAAAGATGCATGTTGTTTTATATGATAACAGTAGCATATACTCACCTTAATGACCCTATAGGAGGCACATTTCTGAAGGATGCGTTGTTCTTGTGTGCTAGGGCTATTAAACCATACAACACTCCCTTCTCAAGGGCAGAAAGATACAGAAAGAAGAGCAGGTATATTGGTGTAACTTCACACACTTTGGTGCAGGGTGCAAGGGAATGACATGCAAAGGCACAAGCAAATCTTGGTGCACTCCAGCATGATTAGTGAGTCACCTCTTTGCACTAACATACTAATGGCACTTGTGAGCCCTGAGCAGCACACACAAGGGTTACCAAAATAGCAAGAAACTGCTACCATAAAGAACCCAAACTAGGAGAGCAAAGACTGCCATGATATTGAAAATCTTTGTTACTGATGCAACTACAGGAGCCAAACCTCATTTTCCTTCTGCCCTTTTACAATACCCAGTTAAACATTCATTTTGTAGAGTGGGTATCTATCTTCCTACTTACATTTTTCAATATAGTCTACTTCAGTTATATTTTTAATGGTCCATGTTATGTTGCCTGAAGTCCAGCAAAGGTCAGGAGATGTGCAGTTTTCTGAGGGTGGGATAGTGACATTCTGCAATGTCTAAAGATTGCCATATAAAAGAGAGAGAGAGTTTAGTTTCATATATTACCAGCTCATGTGCAATTCCTCTAGGTTTTGAAGAACTAAAAATAAACGAATAAAATACAGGTGAAAAAGGGTTGAGTTCAGTCTATAGTTGAATGGCATCACAGTCCCAAAGAGGGAGAAATAGTTTTCACTCAGGAAAAGCTGTTATTTTAATCAAGACAATCAGTGTAAAAAAATGAAGAAGGGTGTGTGGAACTCTTGTCTGTTCCAACTAGTGGCATTTCCTTGAATCAAATAAGTTTCTATCTCTTCTGCAGGTTCTTAACTGTAGTTGATGCAGCCACACTGCCTACTAGATGGAGATTGGACTAGATTTCAGAAGACCAGGATTACATTCCTGTCTCTGCCACTTGCCTACTGGTTGACCCAAGGCAAATCACATCACCTCTCCATGTCTCAGTTCCCTTATCTGCAAACAGGAGAGAGTGATACTGGCCTCTTTTGTAAATCACTTTGAGATCTGATGAAAAGTGCCACCTGAGGGCTAGTTTATTATTAGCCTTATTATTAATGGAATGCAGCCTGGACTCCTCACCTGTCCCTCAATTACCATCTTGCTTACAAGGAAGGCAACCTATGGGGAGGGGATTGATTCACAGCCTCCTGCTCTATTGGCTGTAATTTCCCAAAATACATCAAATTAGCTGTCTCAGAGAAAAAGAGTCTAGCTTCTGCACTAAGAGATGTGAAGGAGGTTATTTAGGATGGTAGGTACACACAGTTAGCTGAAGTGACTCTACAGCTCACAGATCAAGGGACACTAAGTTACAACACTCAGTATTTAACTGTTACTGCAAATTAAGAAAAGCTGGAAAAGATTGCTGACTGAACTATACCAATGTGTTTGCTAGCCAAATGGACTGTGAACACCACCAGAGGCCAGGAGGGTATCTCTGAGAAACATTTCAATTAAGTTTTCTTCAGGAAAGGGAGAGAACTGTGGGAGAACCAGGTTCTCTGCCTGATTCCCAGTAGTCTTTTTTGAAACAGGTAAAATGTGGATTTGAATTTGTCTTCTCACTAAATCCCCTTAATACTAAGCTATATAGAGACAGAGACACCTTTCTGAATCAAAAAGGCTACAGAATGATTTTTCTCTCTCCCCCTCTCCCTTCTGAAGAAAATTTCTCTACAACCTATACCACTGTAATATTTCAATTTTTAAGAAAATTCACATTGTAAAAAATATTCTGACCAATTTCTGTTCATAATGTAGCAGTGAACAAGAAGATGAATACGAGTCAGCAGTGTGTCCTTGTTGCCAAGGAAGCTAACAGCATACTGGGCTGCATTAGTAGGAGCATTGCCAGCAAATCAAGGGAAGTAATTATTCCCCTCTATTCACCACTGGTGAGGCCACATCTGGAGTGTCCAGTTTGGGGCCTCCCCACTATAGAAAGGATGTGGACAAATTGGAGAGAGCCCAGCAGGGAACAACAAAAATGGTTCAGTGGCTGGGGCACATGCCTTCTGAGAAGAGGCTGAAGGAACTTGGCTTATTTAGTCTGCAAAAGAGAAGACTGAGAGAGGATTTGATAGCAGCCTTCAACTACCTGAAGGGGGTTCAAAAGAGGCTGGAGCTAGATTGGTCTCAGTGGTGGCAGATGACAAAACAAGGAACAGTGGTCTCAAGTTGCAGCAAGGGAGGTTTAGGTTAGATATTAGGGAAAACTTTCTCACTAGGAGGGTGGTGAAGCACTGGAACAGGCTACCTAGAGAGGTTGTGGAATCCCAATCCTTGGAGGATTTTAAGACCTGGCTAGACAAAGCCCTGGCTGAAATGATCTAGTTGGGGCTGGTCCCACTTTGAGCAGGGGGTTGGACTAGATGACCTTCTGAGGTCCCTTCCAACCCTAATTTTCTATGATTCTACGATATTGATATATATGAACTCCTTACCTGTATACTCAAAGTAACAGCAGTAGTAGAGAAAACTCTTCTGTTATGGGTATATTTGTAATATTGTGAATATTTTCCTTCTATCTGGAGTGCTATTTAAGTAGCAATAATATCTTTCCTTAGGAGATAAAAGCCATTTTAACAAATACTCACCACATTGGTGTTAGTTAGGCACCAAACCTTCACCAGGCTTCTATTTTTCGCAGAGTCATCATTCATAGCAATTGCATTTATTACAGATTTATCAAGCTTAAATGTTAAAGAAAAAAAATAGAAAAATTATTCTAACCTGAATCTTAAGTCTACAAAATTTAAGCCAAAACCTTTTCACCTACCCCCTTCAAGCAGTGCCACAGAAATCAATAAAACTGCTTATGCATGTAAGATAGCACAATTCTTACTGCAACCTACTCTCCTACCCAGCAGATAAGACAAGCAGGGACTTAACTCCTAGAAAAATAATCTTCTTTTTCATATTTGCAATACTATATATATATATATATCTCAAACATGCATCCTCTCCCATGTTACAAACAAAATCATCTATTCCTCACTTAAACAAAAATATGGTTGATTTCATATAAAATCAAATATTCAATGCAACCTTCCACTTACTCTATTTTTCAGTCTAAGGTAACCTCCCCCCTAAATGCTTGGTTGAGCTATTATCAATAAAGGGGACAATTATTCTACATATTTCAAATAATTATATTCGAAATATGTAGAAAGAGAAAATGTCACCATCTGCACCCATCCCTTTTCAACATCCTAGATCTGCCCGTGTATACCACTAATACTTAGTATATAATGAAACATAAATCAGAAATAAAAATTTCCACCCACCAAAGAAGTTTTATCATGAGGACAACAATACTATCAGACAGCCTAGTATCTTTAGAGCAGCTTAAGTAACTGTAGCTGAATCAAGTGGCTTCATTAAAGTGAAAACCTACCTCAATGATAAGCTTTGTAAAAGGATCTGTGATAACTTTTAGTAGCTGAGGGGCATCTTCACCCGTTTCAAGATTAAAGGATTTAACTATAACATTAGTAAGATGATAAAGATAACCAGTAGCAACTTCTATAGGCAACAGCACAAACACTGCAAGCCAGTTAAAGAAATCGTGGACTGTAGCTCCAGCAAAGGCCCTGCAAAAAGACAATTAAAAGCAAATTGTTTTTAATAGCACATTCATAGCATAAATAAAGTATGAAAATACACAAGTGAGAAGAGAGCCTGCACCAAGGCAGGAATTATATAATTTTTAGAGCCACAGATTACCACTTGTGTTACAGTGTGCTCTTTAAGCAGTCTAACTGGCAGAGCTAACCAAGGGATTTAAAAAATACGAACAGAACTAGAGAAAACAAAGGAAACTATCCTTGACAGGTGGGGGATACAACCTACCCTCGACTAGTTCAAATGAAAGGCCTCTGTTAGCTTGTCCCATTGCCTAAGTATACTTATGTAGGGCAGACTTTTATTTTCCTTTGTGCCTTTAAATGGCAGTTTTCTAGCCATCTACCTGGGCATTTCTGAGCCACTGCACTTTGCATTCAATAATCTCTGATAAAATAGACAGAAAGCACTGGGAGTAAGGTTCTATGCTAGAACTCAGGATCTGTTCCTTTTCAAAGCTGCATCCATCTTACTCAGTCACACACTCTAATTTGCTCTCGTCCTCCTGGCCCCATGTATCCAGAATGCTGAGAAGAGGTTATTGAGTGCTGGTTGGGTGGGAGTCTTATCTCAAAGCCCCCAGCTGGTACTGCCATGATGTGGTGTTGCTGGGGTAGCAATGCAATGGTGTGGGGCTGCTGCTGTTGCCATGTCATGGACCCTACAGGGGGCTACCATTCTGGTTTCCCCTCTAGGTTGGTACCTGGGGCTGGTGCACTGATCGCCTACCCCAAGTTATGCTACTGAATGAATCTCTTTCTTTTAGCTGCCCAGAAGGCCAGCTTCAAGAGTACTGCCTGAGAGAGGACTGAATAATGCCTGCAGTGAGGATGTTAGAACACTGTATTGGAAAGTCAGACATGCAGGTTGAAACTCTCTTTGGGCAAAAAGGGCCTAGAAGCCAGGTCTCATACTTCCTGGGCAAGTACCCTAACCACTCAGCTAGTAGGGGCCTCCTCCTCTTCCAGCATCTAACACCTATTAGTTAGTCAGGAGTTTCTGGACATGTGCTTTTTTTAACTTGGATGCACATACACAACCATAATGGACACGTATACCCAGCTGCATATGTGCTCCACCAGTGTGTAGCCTACTGTGCATGCTCATTCTACACATATATTCTTTCACATCCACAGTGCAGGGGTAAAAGAATTGCAACCTGTGCTTAAATGCCAAAAAATGCCACTTATGTGGCTTGCAAGCTGTGATTTAGGCACACAAAGGAAAACAGAATTCTACCCATTGCTTTTTCTGGCATTCTAAAGTCCATTGCCAGCTTTTCTCTGCCCACTGATTAATGCAAAGTACTAGTCTCTGACCTCTTTATAGCTATGCTATGTACAATTTTCAAACATCACAGTATACTTCCCTTTCAATCTTTGTTCCTTGTCTGTAATTGGCAAACCAATAAATAAAAGACACAGAGGGAAAACAAACAGGGAAATATAATCTGGCTAAATGTATTTCACAAATTTGGCAGTGTCCCCATATAAATTACTATAAATAACAAGAATAACAAGGCACCAGAGTCTCACACCCATTCCAGTTTTACTACTCTGTCAGTTACCATATCTCAATACTAATGAGAGTTTAGGAGTTCATAAACTGTCAGTGCATATATGCGTAGCTGTTAGAATGTTTCACTTTTCTCTGTTTATCATATCTTGCTTATTGCTGATTTGCTAGTCCTTGAAACAGAAAGTACACAACAAGTGGAAAACTTTTTATTTAATGTAACATTAACTTTCTGCACACATATTTTCTCTGCTATAAAGATATGGTAAAATATGGGTGGAAAAGTGGATATACTTTTAAAAAAAGATTAATAAGTGCCATACTATGGGATTCTGTTAAAAAAAGTTTGAATCTTTCAAACCCATGTAGCTTTTTAGGGAACACAGAAAGCATTTCAGATATATTTTCAAGTTAACTTACAGTAAGCCTAGACTGCATTGTGCTTTGTAATGTCAGATAACTGAAGAATAAAGGCAACATGGAACTTACTGTACCATCAAAGCTGACAGGTTTATGGAGCAGAAAGCTATGGAATTGCCATGTAATTATTTATGATGACTAAGCAAGATAGCACCTGGTCTTGCATCCCATTGAGATCACTGGCAAACTCTCAGTGTTTTAAGTAAGGTAGGATCAGATACTTTCTTTTACGTGATTGTGAAGTAAACGTGACTTATTTTAATTATTTTATATCCAACTACATAATTGGAGCTGCACAGCACATCATTAAAGCAGCTTTAGAAATTTACTTTCCATTTTCAAGCTGTAGATTGTAATTTTGGACAACAGACTAGCTGAGAAGCTGCTATAGTAATAAGAGCTATAGGAAGAAACATAAAAAAACCTGTTAAAAGTTAAAAATAAATGCTTATGGGGTAAAATTAAAGCACAATACCTTCTAAATTCATTTCTTTCTCCAGCTTGCATAAGTGCCACAATTGTGTTTGTAATTGAGGTACCAATATTTGCCCCCATTATGATAGGAATAGCAGCTTGTACAGTCAACACTATAAAGTAAAAAAGGAACATTAGGTGAAAAGCAAATACTTGACGCACAGTCTACACAGAGGGCTAGTCTACACATGACATTAATGTGAAGGAGTGTATTGCTCCTGAGCACCATGTCTTCATGTGTGTCTAGGACTGCAGCACGTTGAGCAGGGTCAGAGCAGACCCAGCTGGCAGAGGGCTAGGGGGTCAGCCTGCCAGCCCAGGGCTGCTCCAACCTGGCTCAATGTACCGCGCAGGGGCTGGGTGAGGCATGAGGGTGCCCTGGTGCAGGACTGGCTGGCAGGCAGCCCTGCACTGAAGCACCCTCATGCCCCAGCCAGCCCTGTCAGTGTCTACACATGCATTGCTGCACACTAAAGAATGCCACTGAAGGACAGTACTTGTATTTATGAGTATTAACCTACAGTGGAGTGAATTTATTTCCTGAGGCCTAATAGGGCCACATGTGTAGACACTGAGACTTTTCTGTGGGCCTAATTAGGCAGCTCCACAGTGAACATCTTGTGTAGATGCACTCAGTGTAAATCAAATTACCTTCCCGTTGAAGTCACTGGGATTTTTGCCACTGACTTCAATTTGATCAAATTTGTCTAACAAACATAACTAGTTGTCACTATGATCCAAACACACTTGTTTTTAGTCAAAGGATCTTGGGAATGTGCTGCTTTATTATTCTGAGAACCCACTTTGCATCTGAAGCATACTAGTCCTTGGTTTCTAGTACAAAATATTCAAGTACCTTACCCTTTTTTTTTTTTTTTTTTTTTTTTACTGAGCATTCTCCCAAGTATTATATATATACACTTCAGAATTTTGAAACCAAGAAACAAAAACATTGATTCTAGTAACTTTTTTGACAGGTAAAAGCATGCAGTTGCCAAAGTTAGTACTTTCAGTGTCAATGTACTAAATAGGTTCCCTACAGCTGAATGGCATTTTTGTGTATTATAGTATGAAGAGACAAATAAATTATAGCTAGTTAAAAGGGAGGAGGGACTTGTCACATATCCACTGCCCCATGGTAGTTTCTTTGTGCTTCTGCACTAGGTATGCTTTGTGGTAAGTGAAAAATGAACTAGACTAGCATAGCCGTGAATGAAAGAGAGGGCTACATTACCACAGTTTAGCTTTCACAGTTAAGCTTCCAGTTACTGCAAAACAGCGTGAAAACATTAAAAAAAAATGATTGCAGAGCAACTGAAACATAGTTACTTCCATGTCCCTCTCTTCTAAGCCATCATAATTTGTTTGTATGCCCATACCCTCAATGTCCATTTGTTATTGCTAACTTTTTCTAATTTAGTATCAGGAGAACTGCAGTGAAGTTTTCCCCTCAATCCTTTACTTATTCCCAAAGCTTCTACTTTTACAACTTTTTAACTGCTAATGTAAAAAGTATCATGATCTCTACTACCATCATGTGGGATGACTTACATGAAGAAGACACCATGCTGACTATAATAGATGAAGAGGTGCTAGAGCTTTGTACCATGACTGTCACCAAAACTCCAATCACTAGTCCAGCCACTGGATTTGACAGCACAGAATCATCTCGAAAAATGTCCCCAGCTGCTTTACCTATAAAAAAAATCCTTCTAGTGAGAAAAGTGCCTTGCACAGTCAATGACAAGACCATTTACAGAAAAACTATTCCACTTTTTAAAATGCAATGTATGCAATCCTACCTGTCAGTCTAAAGGTGAATTAAAGTGAGTAGCTCAGAGATCCAAGTTCAAATCCTGAACTTAGACTAATTCCTTCCAAGTTATCAGGAAATACACCATATTTCTCTCATTCTTTTACATGACAGAAAAAACAACAGTGAAAAGCCCTGGATATAAGTGTATCTAGACACTTTGTCAGAGGGAAGTCCACTAAATTTGGGACTTCTTGAGGCTCAGGAAAAAAATAGGATGACTGAGGAGAAGACAATTGCTTACTTCATGTAGGAGCCCTAAAGATGCTATTTTAGGCACAGACATGGGTGACAGGGCACTATCACAAGCAAATCTTTCTGCATCTTCCCCTAGTTAGGGTATGCCTCCATGGTATAATCCTACATAGCATATTCAGTAACTCAGGCATTATTTTGGTTGTGTAGTTTTTATGCCTGGAATAGTAAATTCAACAAAATGATATGAAAGAGATCAACAAAATGCTATGGATTAAAAAAACCCAAAAAACTAGTTTCAGTTTTAAATCCAAAATATTTTCATATCATTAACAGTTTTGGTTTGCTTCTTTAAGGAATAATATTTTAATAATTGTAAATAGCTTGGTGTTATTTTATATTTTAAATTATACTGCTAAAAATCTTGAATGGAAATGGAAAAAAACACTGAACTCAAACAGGAGTCCACACAAATTTAAGTAAACCACAGTCTGGTCCTTTTATATTCTAATATTTTTCACCTTGAAAGGATTTAGGGTCCTTTAACGTTGAATCTTTTAAATAAGCACCTGTTTTTAAACTTTCTCTATGTTACAATGGCGTTCACATAGTAAAGCTAAATGCACAGGTGTATTTGTGTTATTAGGACAACAGGGACTTCCAATGGCAATAATAGTCTGGAATTCTGGAAACAAAGACTTCTTTCAAACAAAAGGAGATCAACTTTTAGTTACTGAAGACAACTTCTATATATGTATGTTCGTATGTGTGTATATAACGTGAGTTCTTACAGTTCGATATTCTTAGCATGGTTATTTCATTTTGAATTGTATTAGAGTCAACAACCCAGTCATCCATAGATTAATCTGGTACTTTAAAAGTATTTACATACCTCCTACCAATTGGAAGCCAGAGCTTAGAACATCCAAGGAGCACACAAATAAATAGAGTAATCCAAGCATGAGAACAAGCTTTCCTAACCCTTGGAGTATAAAGAGTATTTTTCCTTTCATATCCCGATCTGCAAAACATAAGACAAGTTTTCATGTATAAAATATTTATGTCTTTGGCACTCCTTTTTGAACAGTTTAGCACTTTTAGAAAATCTCACATTCTCAATCTGGAGTCAACAATCATATTGAGAGCTCTGTGAATGATAAATCCAAAGGAATGCTTATGTTACTAAAATTTGAACCACAGCATCACTTTAGTTTAAATATTTTGATGTATATAAAGACTCCAGGAAGTTCGAACTTCATCCTTTTTAATGTTTACTATTAGATTTTTAAATTACTGTAAAAGGTGGAGCTATGCTAATTAAAAGTGCCCAGAGCATCATGTGTATCAGCGTCCCCACACTGAAAAATAATGGCAGGGCACTTTGAACTAAAACTTGTTCAATGAGCTTTAGTTTAATGTACCCTGCCGCCGTTTTCCAGCGCAGGGCCACTACTACACACGATGCTGGATTCAATTAAATGAATCTACTCTGATACGCTGGAATTACAGTGCGTCAGAGCAGACTCCCTGCATGTGTATAGGAGCCCTGACTACTAAAGTTAAATCATAAAACCAGTTTTCCAAAATAATATCACAGAATAAGATTAAAATAAAACAGCAGTAGATTAAAAAAAATAAAAACAGGTAAATGTTATACACTGACAGCTTATTACCTGACCACTTGATCCCAGTGTCCGGAAGGTCTGGCACTGTCCAAGGGTCATCACCTTCTTCTGTCCCTGTCTGATTTATCAAGGCAATTGTAGAATATCCAGGCTGAATATTCCCTGTTGAAACCACATTGCCTGTAGAAATCAAACACAAAACAAATCAATTTAAGTACTTGCTGCCTTAACCCAAGAGCACAAATATAAGATCTTCATGTAAATCATGAAAACATATATTTACCTCCATCTTTTGCAGTCACAGGCTGTGTTTGCTTGGAGGATTCATCAATGCAGTTATTGGCTTCAGGCTTGTCCACTTCAGGCCAAGGAGCCATGGTCTGTTACTAAAGAAATATACTGATCAAAATTACGGTGCTATGAAAACATTCTTTAACATTTGTCAGTATGGTGTAAAGAAAGGCTTACCTAAGAACAACACAAAGAAAACAATCTGTCTTCCAGAACAGATCTTCATTAATTCTTATGAATTACTGTAGTTATTAATTAACTTAGATTTACTTGTGTTGCTTAAGTCAGTACAAAAAATTTCATTTCCTCTTCCCAGTTATAATTATGCTAAGTTTTGGCTGCTACCAAAAGCAAAGATTTTTATACAGTCTAAAATTTAAGTCTTCAGCTAGCCTTCATTCAGTCAGTCAGTCAGTCAGTCAGTCATTCGTCTATAGGAAACAAATTGCTACTTTACTTTTTGTCATTCTCTCATTCTTAACTATATGGTTCTAATTCTTAAATGGTAATACAATTATTAGATCTGAAAAGGAATTGTCTCATTTTTTATTACTGGCTGAACTAAAAGGAATTCAAGCCTGACCAATCCATTTCTACTAACCCATCCAGGGATGCCCATTTTATTTCCAGTACTAACAAAAAAGTCTCAACTCTGCCAGCTAGACACATTGCCATACTGTTACACCAGTTAAATGAAGATGCCTTCTAAATCGATGGACTGTTGATGTGTGGTTGAGCTAGTCTCAATTATGGGTGGTGAACCAGGTTTGGTCTGATCTATACATGCAGTTTAACTATTTTAAAGTGGCTCAACAGCACCTGCTTTTAAACAGCAGTTAACTTATTTCATGTAGTAGATAGGGTTTGTGTTACACAGCTCTGGCCAGATCCAGGATTCCCCAAAAGGGGGATGCAGGAGCAGCAATCTCTGCTGCAGGGGTAGCTGCATCCCTACTGCCGAGCCTCTTCTGCCTCCACCAATGAGGGCAGACTGCCCTCAAGAGCCTCCAGGGACTTTATGAAGTCCCTAAAGCAAGTGAAAACCCCTCCTCTCCTTCTCTTTCCGTCCCCACGTCCCCAGCTGCCGCTGTTGCTTTCCCCGCTGTTCCAAGGGCTGGGAGAGCAGCAGAGCAGCTCCTGCTCATCCCAGCTGGGCTGTACCAGGACAGGGCTCATCTGGGGATGGGGACAGTGCCAACAGCAGGTCAGAACAGTAGTCCTCCCCTCCCTGCCCCATCCCCTAGAAGCAGGCCTGGGAAAGGGGATCTCCCCACCCACCCACACTGCTGCTTTCCCCATTCCCAGCTGAACCCAGTCCACATGCAGCCTGGCTGGGGTGGACAGCAACAGCTCTGGTGCTTCCCCCACCCCTGGGACAGCAGGGAAAGCAACAACAGCAGGCGTGGGAGGGGGAATGATGAGGAAAGGGGAATTGTCACTTCCTTAAAGGGCTTAAAAAGTCTCTGGCAGCTCCAATGGTGCAGTCCAATGCAAAAGGGGTTTGCAGCCATGCCGCTGCTTTGCCACACACAGTTATAGCTATATAAGATGGTTGTAAGAAAACAATCATGCTGGAGTCTATTTAGCATAACATGCTTACATTTTTCTAGCAAAGTTTTTGTTTTGAAGAGCATCATCAAACAAGGATATTCCGGAAAGTTGTTTCCAAAAGCTTTGTCTACCTTGGAAAATATTTATTAACATATAACCTCACTACTACTACCACTTGAGCCATACCGGTGGTCACCCAATGAGAGTGTAAGCATAGGCAAGCCTAGGAAGGTGCCTAGGATTTTAAGTTACTTATTGTATTGCCCTGCTCTGGATAGGTAAATAACACAGGGCATGTCTACATGAGACGTTTACTGTGGAGTTGACTAATTAGCTCCACAGTAAAATGTCACTGTCTACACGTGCAGTACTGTTAGGATGGAGTAAACTAATTAACTCCACTATAGGATAGTACTGCCAGACACAAGTACTATCCTACAGTGGAGTTATTTACTCCACTGCAACACACATCTAGACACTGACGGGACTGGCTGGGGCATGATGGTACTTCAGTGCAGTGGCTTCCTGCCAGCCAGCCCCGCACTAAAGCTTCCTTGTGCCCCAACCAGCCCCTCCGCAGCATGTTGAGCCAGGTCAAAGCAGCCCCAGCTTGCAGGCTATCCCCCAGGATCCTCTGCCAGCCAGGGCTGCTCCAACCTGGCTTAACATGCTGCAGTCCCGGGTACACATGTAAATGCAGTGCCCAGGAGCAATAAACTCTGGTATGAACTGCACCAGACTGTATTTGGCCACATTAATTGCATGTGTGGGTGTGCCTACAATGTTCAAATGTCAGGAGGACTTGCACTTCTGTCTACAGTAATACTTTGAGAATTGAAGTCACAGGAAAAGAGAAAATAGTGGTAACAACAATGGGAAAAATTCTGGTACAAAGGTCCTTTGCTCCCTTAGGCTGCATTTTCACTAGCCTTTCTCAGGAAATACCTTACATTTGTACTGTCGCTGTTGCAGGTCTACCCTAGGTAGCACTATTGGGAGTCCCAATTTAGATTAGTATAGGCATTTTTATCTATTGTACCTTACTGTGAACAAGTTTGTATGATAGGGGGATAAAAGCAGTAGTGACAGGTCTACCCTGCTGATTCTTCACAGGCCAGCACTGGTTGGCATCAACGGTAAATCAACAGTGGGAGAACTTGGCTAAAATGTTCACCACCAGCAGGATCCCTATGTCAGTTACAATAAGGCCCCAATAAGCCAGTATGAAGATTGCTATTGTGCTATAAACAAGATTCAAGCATGAACAGCATCCACTGAAAGAAGAGTACTTAATCCCACACTTAATGGGTTAATATCTAGGTCTGATATTGGAAAGGGTTGCCCCTTAGGTGGCCCCCATTAGTCACCAATTATGCTCCTATTGTGTACCCCATGGTTTAGGGAGAATGTCAGATAGCATGATCGCTCAAAGCCTATTGTAATAGTCAATAGTACAGTTCTGTGGCATTTTTATAAGAAAAATATTCCCCTTCCATACCTGTTGAGAGAATTCTGCTAGCAACAAGGAAGCTATTACACAACTATTATGTGCAGGATTTCATCAGTAGAGTGGATATGGCAACTTGGAAGGTGCATAGAGATGGATCTTTAAACAGCTAAGAATATCACTTGCTGGTTTCAACAGTGTTTTTTCCATTTGCTCAGAGCAACTCTCATGTTGTCATTCATGTCCAAACAACCTCAAGGCCCCGCCCATGTCAGAAGAACTCAGTCTTGTTAAACAAGTTGCCCTTGCACACATTCAGCATTAAAAGAGTTTTGAATGATATAAGTGCTTAGTAATAGTCGTCTTAAAATCAACTGCAACCATAAGCAAGCATCTGAAATTCAGGGTTGGGATGGGTTTAACACACCACTTAATACATTTACAGCTCTTTTCCTACATCCATATTCAAGATGGAACTCAAGGGCTTAACCTCCCCTATTACAGAAGCAGCCTGAAAACTGAACTGGTGTGATAAATACGGATTAGAAAATTCCATCTAATGAAAGCGTTTTTCCCCCTAAACTAAGTCTTCCGAACTGAAGCATTTGGATAGAAAATATTTTCATGAGATTTTTATTAACACTATAGTGTCTAGACACCCACAGGTAGGTCATATGTTTTTATTACTATTATTATTTTAGAATATTCACTTATCTTGGCAATACAAAGTACCTTTGGAGGCAGGGCAGAGGTGCTATATAGATATATAAAATAAGATTAATACATATAAAAATAATCAATTTCAGTCCTGATCAAACTTTGTGTTGGCAAGTACAGCTTGAATACCATAGTCCCTACAACTAACTACTTTCAGCATCTGTGCTTCCCAGGAAAATATCACTCTGGCAGCCAAAGCAGATTGGCTAATGTTATCAAGGATCTTTGACAATGGAAACATGTGGATTTCTGGAAGCAACCCTGCAAGATGACAACTTAACCCTGTGAAGTGTGTGGGAAGAGTAACTTTTAGCCACAAGTCAGACTGATTATTAGAATTTTAACCCACAGCTTCTTGCTATTGATTTAGCATATATCTATCCCCAACATGTAACAGGTATTATCACAAAAGCGCTCCTTTCAAAGACAACTATTTTCCCCAAAGGAAAGCATTAATATTTGAGGAAAAATATTTATTAAAAAACCCTAAGCACTGAAAAGCAGCTGAAAAGCAGGATCATAACCATGTACTCTACTCCCTTGTACCTGAGCATAAGAATAAGTAGCATTTTAGATCCTCTGTATGCTGATATACAAAGTGCAAGATAGTGGAGAATCAAGATCATAATCCTCAATAACAATTTACTTTAGAACACATAACTCATGATTGTCAATGCTACTTGAGGTGGCTGTCACCTCAGTGCTACATTGATGCAAGCTCTGAAATGGAAGCAACCCCCCACCCCCCACACACCTTTTCTCTTTTTTTAAGTGGTAGGTCAAAATATTCCATGCATTCTATATGAAATTAGCATTTCAAAGGTCTGAAAACTAATGCCCACACAAACTGTAATCCAGTCTGTCTCAATGAATGATGCAATAAATCCTCACATGCCAGTGTGTGCTCCTTTGGTTGCAACTCTTGCCCTTCTCCTTTATTATTATTTATTATTTGCTTCCAACAGTGCTCACTATTTTTGGGTGTCTTTAATTATAAAAGATGCGCAATCCCTACTCCAGTGCCCATAGAGACTTAAAGCAGTATTGGGACTATTACATTCCTGAGTGACTCATGAAATTACTACTTTTTTCTGTTTTACAGACCTAAACCTTCAATAATTCTCTATTTTACCTTAAAATAGTCACAAGTCACTTATTTTGCTGGACTTAACATAAGGGATATAAACTACCAACTGCACGTGTGTACTCAGTATTGTTTTTATCTTTCCATCCATGACAGTTCAGTGAAAGGACAAGTTGTACTTGAAACAAGTAATGTGAAGCAATAGTATTAAGAAAATCAAAATTACATGGAAACCGCAAAGTAGAACTGAGAAGGAATGGGATTTCTATGTGAGTACTTCAAATACAACCATTAATAAACCCAGTGAATAGCTAAACTATCATGCATGTAAATTTTTTTCCAGACCCATCAAACAGTTTCCAAAGCAAGGTATCCATTTCAAGCAGGCTACTCTCTCGCTTCTTTTATTTTTCTAAAATGCAGTGCATTATTGCTATTATCCATGTTGTAGATGTTTATTTCAGAAAGTTTTGGGGTGGGGGGGGGGTTGGTTGGGTTTTTTTGCAGCTCATCTGATATTCAGCTCTATTTGCATTCATACTATTTCAACAAGTATACTTTAGTGAATAGGTATGTCTCAGGCCTTCTCCACATACATATTGAAGATGCGTGCAATATGTGTAACTTCAAAACACATAACCAGAGATAAAATTCACATCTTATAGGTGATCAGGTTCTTAGTCAGCATAAACTAGAGTAGCACCACTGAAGTTAACTAACCAGTTTAGACAAGATGAGGACATGGATCTGTAGCATTACCGCCCTATTGCCATAAATGTGAGAGAACAGGTAATAATTATAACAGATACAAGCAATGATTCAACTGTGCTAAGGGCAAGTTTCTTCTTTGCTTCAGCTATCATCACTCCAATAGGACTATTTGTATCAATCAAGTTACCAAGTTTAACCAGGATGTAATGTTTTTAATCAAACATCTCTTCTGTGGAAGGGAAAGTGCAGGGGACAAATGCTAAATACAGTTGCTAATATATAAATATTTTATTTATATTGGAGTCCTTAGATCTCTGGTTGTCTCACAGAACTGAATCTAAACCATGAAAAAACAAAACCAAACCAAGAACAGCATACACTAGTAAATAAATGAATGTCTAAGCCAGTGCAGAAATAAAGCAAATACTTCACAATATCCACTTGTTGCCAATATCTATCCATTCACAACCAGTACTCTAGCTAACAGAACCATATCAACCACGATTTCAGTGAATAATCTGGAATGTATCTGAAAGTAACAAGTGGTACAATTCTTTAGAATGGAAAGGGAAAAAAGTTCTTCACCACAAGAAAACAATATAATTAAAATGGATACCTGCCCCCATACCTAGGCTGAAGGACTTGGTAAAGAATCTCAAGAAAAGAAACTGAACAGCATTGAAAAGTTTTATTGACTTAATAAAAGCCACTAATGAAAACTCCAATATCAGTCAAATTTCTGTCTTCTGTCACATTAATTCAGCCGATTCTATTAGACTAATGTATTCCTCTTTCCTCAGTGCATTAAACTGAATTAACATTAAAAATGTTTGGTTTTGGAATAGCCTGTTAGTGTAATAATGTTTTACATAGCCCTTTCATACGATTTTATGTAGTAACATATGACTGCTGATGCTTCACTGATTGCAGCTTAGGCATTTTTCAGCATCCAATCCTACTGATTATTTCTGATTAAACTCTCTGTTTTCTAAAGAAAGTAAAACACTAAATACTTTTCCTGATACAGCAGGCAGTTATTGTACTTTTGATTCTTTACCACTGCTAACATACCTCTTAGCTCGACTTTTGAATTCTATGTGAAAAAGTCTGTCCTCCTTGTAGAAGATATTTACAGTGGCATGTATTTATAATCAATTTTAATTTTGGCGTTTAAAAAAAATTAAGGGAATACAACCAAAAAGATACCGTCTGAAATATTTAAAACTTTGACTATACTTTGTAGTACAATTCCAATTCCACTTCTTTATCTCTCTGCTGCTATTTCATGTGACCTGCAAAACAGTCTGAGACTTAACATACAAATTACTTTAAAGTTTTTAAAAAAGGGAAGTTTGCCTGAGTTGCTTTTACTTACCACTTCTTTCTTCCCCAACAACAGCGAGAACAGATCAGCCAGGTATCCACTGAAACCTGCAATTTATAGAGAGAGAGAGGAAGGTGTTGAGCAAAGTCTGCTGTCACCAGCGCACACTCACATTCCTATCTTACACTCTAGAGGCACTGCCTACCTGCAGCTTAATGATCTCAATCAGCTCTTTTCAGCAGAAGTGGAGAGCAACCAACAGCAATAAAACCTCAAATTGTTTCACACTTATCATATTCTAGGAAATGTCCCATCAGCATTAAAGAGTTGCTAATATGTTCATCTGAGTAACGTGGAATTATTTGTTCCACTCTGACAAACTGCTGGCCACTTTGTCATTTAGTCGTCTTTCTAATAAATGTCTTCCAAAAACGTCTTCTTATACCAAAAATTGATCAATAGAGTTCTGACAGGGATATGGTGCTGTTATCTGTCCGTTTGTCTATCCTACTGTCTATTTGTCTGCCTCAGAAAAGAAGTGACAGAGAATCAGATTAAAAAAATGGTCTAATTAGGAAACCTGTAAGAACCTCTTTCAGAACAAAGGATAAAGTTTTCATTCTTATCAGTGCCCAGTGTTTACAATTAAAAAGAAGCTACAGAGATCATTAGCATTTTGGCCATTGCTACTCTGGCTCTCAAATAAAAGAGATTTAAAGATATAAGAGTGCTCCTGGTAATTTTATCCTGAAGGCTAGCAAGTAGTACAACAGGTACGAATAAGCTCAGTATGATATTAAAGATTCATGACCTATACAAACAAATGACAAGTACGAAAGTGAGCCACTACCACTGCTGACTACTATACAGGGGTAGGTGCACAGGAAGTCTGGGGTACTGACCAAGCCACAAAGACTGCAGTGTTGTTCTCTTTGAATTTTTGTTGTCCAGACCCATTTGCTCTCAGATCCATGTGGAAAATGACTCCATAGAGGCATCTTAACTAAAAGCTTCACCTTCTCTGTGCATTGTCATGTCTTCTCTCATGTTTT